ACTGGTGAAAAAATAAAAACTACAGCAGCCTCCCAGGAGAAGTCACTGATCGCTATCTTCATCTTCCTCCTGCACTAAAACCACTGAAGTCGTTTTCTTCAGTGTCGGAATTGAACAGCCTCAGAATGACTTAATCACACACTTTTTCAGTCTCTCTTTTGTTGTCGCTCTCAATGTCACTTTTGTCTCGAGGCAAATTCGTAAAAATCGTAAAAATCCATAAATTAGCCGCATCATTGTTTAAGCTGCAGTGTTCAAAGCGTGTGAAACAAGCAGCGGCTTGTAGTCCGGAAATTACGGTAACTGTTGCAAAGCTGGTGTATTTGAAGTAATGTTTAGAAATGCACCTGAATGAGACCGTTTTATCTCCCTCCTGAGTTTGGGAATGCTAAATCTAATGCAAACCTGCTAGCTGAAATTGTGCACACTCATCTCCTGCGCACACTGAACGCTCCTGTTTTTACATATGGGAATTTTAATCAGTGCAAACTTGAATGGGCTTTTTAATCATTGTGTGAAACAACAAAGTCCTGGAAAAATGTTCTGGCAATATTTCCCCTCTCTCCAACTCTGACCACTCTACGGTTTTCCACATGCCAACATACAAAACTGTTCTTAAATCCAGCAAACCTCAGAATAAGGTTGTGCTGCAGTGGAATGAGGACAGTTTGGAGACATTCAGAGGTTGTCTGTCATAGAATAGAATAGAATAGAATAGAATAGAATAGAATAGAATAGAATAGAACTTTATTGATCCCGTTGGTGCAAACCTCAGGGAAATTGTTGTGCATGCACCAACTTTAATATTTTCTACAACCTAGAGCTTGATGAGGCTGCTGTGGCAATCGCTGGCTATATATTTTTGTGTTAACAATCCAGTTCCTAGAAAAGATATTCTGCACTTCAGACAACAAGCCACAAAATACAAAAGAGGTTAAAGCCTGTATAAATAAAAAATGAGCTGGCTTTTATGAGCAAAGACCGCGTGGTTGTGGCTTCAGCCCAAAAAGAATGAAATCATCCTGAAAAAAATTAAGAGAGCAACATTGATTTCTATTGAACAGAGGGACTATAAGAGATTATGGGGCTGCATGAAGAACATCACAAACATGAACTCTCAGAGGAAACAGATGATCACATTGGATGATACAGCCAAAGCTAACCAGCTGAAGGGCTGTGTGACTTGGTGGTTAGCACCGTTGCCTCACACCTGGTAGATCCCCAGATTGCCTTGGGTTCTCTTCAGGTTCTCCGGCTTCCTTCCACAGTCCAAAAACACGCTGAGGCTACTTGGTGATTCTAAATTGTCCATATGTGTGAATGTGCTTGATTGTCTCTATGTGTAGTCCTGAGACAGACTGGTGACCCGTCCAGGGGTCCGCTTCACAAAGCAGGTTCAACAAACTCTAAGTCTAGTCCTGAACTCTGAGTTCATCTGCTCTGAGGCAGACACTGGAGTTAGGCGCGTGCACCACAGCTATAAAGCACCAGACACAAATTCATCACGCCATTCACACGACTCACACGTATCTGGACGTGTGTGAGCATGGAGTTTACTTGCTTCATTCGTCCACTTTGACTACCTGTTGGAGAGGATCGGTACCAGGATATCCCTCCAGGATACTAACTACAGGTGCTCGCTGGGATAGAGCCATGTTTTTTTCCTCGCCACATACAGAAACATGGACGAGCGGCCGCCAGCAGGAGTAGGCTGACCACAGCGACGAGGATAGCTAGCAACTCGGCTCGCTAGCTTGTTAAGTTGAAGGGTGGCGTTCTTGTGTGTGGACTGGAGGAGACGGACAGCCCGTCTGCTGAGCACTGAGATCTGCCCTGGACAGTAATGTAGCTGCTTTTCTCCTGGGGTGAGTAAATCAATCAGTATTCACAGTGTTCTTGCAAAAAATGAATGAGTCATGTTCTTGACTTCACCAGAGAATCTCAGCGCTGATTGGCCATCGCGGCGTGAAAGATCGCAAAAGTTCAGATTTTTCAACTTGTGCGTCTAACACGAATTCACGTCATTTGCGTGTTCTGCCCATTTAGCACGGCGACAATTGCATCATTCCCGCCGTGGGACATTTACTTGCGTCTAATCACGTCTTCACATTGACTTTACATGTAAATCATTCGTGTGAATGATTTTACTGGCGTCTGGTGTGAACACAGCATAAAAAGCCAGCATCAATGGGGCCCCGATTCAACGAGTCATCATGGCAACGGGGAAGCAGAGAACCGCGTTTTTCACCCACTAGAACTGGAAATCTTAATGCAGTCATACGGCGAGTTTGAACAAAAAAAAGAAGTGCAACATCGCTGCAGCTGCAAAACAGACGGAGACGGCGTGGAGAACACTGCTGCTGGGGTGAGTTCCTAAGTTTATTTGTCGTCCTTTGATATCACAATTATAGTACAGGGGAAAACTGCTTGAATGAGAAAATAAATAGTTTATAGTACAAATCACTGGATAAATATAACCACTCAAGTTATTTTATCATTAGATTTTTTTTCTTTCCCTGATCGCACGTCACTGATGGACTGTGACGATGAACGGCACCGCTCAAAAAGAGAACGGTCTGGAAATGCTAGAACATCTATGCATCTATGCTATACTGATAATCATTTCCAGATGAATATTTAATTCTCTGCGCAGTAATGCTGCACCTTCATCCACGGGATCGTTATTAAAAGGACATGCCATGTTCCTGGAGAAAGTGGCCACCTACTGTAACAAATGGGCTTCCAATACAGCCGACTGACGGATTTTTAAAATGATTTTTGACAGACAGCAGAGATAGGCTATGCCAAAACTCACCTGTTGAATGAATGAATGAGGAAATCAAATGGCGTGTGTGGATGGAAGAGGGCGGAGACAGAGAGCCGACCAGGTTAGGTTCATAGAGTCTGTTACTACGGTAACTGATCGATGTCTTAAGTTGCCTCTCTCTGTTAAACAGGCTATCGTTACCCCTCTTCCTCTGGTTTGAGTTACCTCCCTTAGTGAAATGGAAAACTCAGAGTTTCCCTTATTTCAGGGTTCAGAGTTTTCACTAAACCTGCTTTGTAAAACGGACCCCAGGTGAACCTGCCTTCATCCTGAGTCGGCTGTGCTGGAGTCCAGCAACCAAGTGAAGCGGTGTATAGATATCAGATATCAGATATCAGATGTGTTTAGACCTGATATCAGAAATAAAAAGAAAACTTATAACAAAATCAGGCTTCTGAACTTGATGGAGTGGGTTAATTAATAAGAATAATTGATCAGATTTACATATGCTTTTCTAGGCACTCAAAGACGCTTTGGTAAGCTATGGTTGTAGCCACAGCTGCCCTGGGGCAGCCTGTCAGAGGCGTGGCTGTCATTCTGCCCCTACAGCCCCTCCGACCACCACCTCAAAGAATCCATTCATACGCATTCACACCAAACTTAACTCAAACTTCAATGGTGTTTTTCTAATGCACATGTTGGACAATACGTGCAGGTTGTTGCATGTTTCTTGCACATATATGCGTTACATTTGTGGCACATTATGCTTGTTTTCACATCCCTTGGTGCACACAGACTGCTTCTGTCACCTCTCTCTTGCAGCAAGTGATCTTGCTTCTCAGCCTTGATCTCTCTCACCAATCTTGCAGAGACTGGCGTTCGGGGAAGGTGTTAGCATGGTTGAATGTGGAGTGCCAGCATAGGTTCCTCTTTAAAAATTTCCCCTGCTTTCATACTAGCTTCACCTCCATCCTCACCACGGTCTGGATTATCTTCTGTGTCATTGTCAGTTTCTGACAATTCCTCTTCGAATCCATCTTCACTGGCAGTTTCCTGGCCTCTCTTCTCCTCACCAGTGTGGTGATCAAATACATGGTCAAGAGCCTCACTTCCAGTACATCAGCCTGCCATGGTGCTGCCACACAATGAACTGTGAGCAAGGCCTCAATTCCAAAGTTATGAGGAAAGTTCATCTCATTGAAGCTATGTTGCAGCTGTTGGTGAGACCTGCCAGCAGGTGTTGTTCACTCTACTGGGCAAAGGTTCCTGTAGTGGTTGCCAGGAAACCCAAGATGTGTGTGTGTGTGTGTGTGCGTGCGTGTGTGTGTGTGTGTGTGTCCATCTGACAAATGAGGAAGTACTTCAGCTCAGTTTTTTACACTCATTGTAGTCTCCTCCATTCATTTCTAATGACTGCTCATTTTTGACCGGTAACACCAAGAGTGTATAGAAGCTGAATAAAACATAAAAACTTGTGTGCAAATTAATGTAATTTATTTTCTGTGGTAAAATCCTCTTTGTGGTCAAAGTCATAGAATCTTAGGTCTGTCTGATCAAGTCGGTCAAATTTGACCAGAAGACAACATGAGGATTTCAAAAATCCCTCCGGTGAAAATTAGGATTTTTTTAAAAAATTTTTTACCTTGTTAAAATGTCACAAGACCTTTAAACTGCACTCTCAGGAACAAAGCGTCAAACAGCAGGATTTTAAAATGCTACGAACAGAAAGCAATTGGGCCAAATGCGCACTACAAAGGCTAAACATGTACAGATGAGGTACTTCCCTTAACTCTCTGGCACTTTAAAGTGAACTACAGCTGCTTGTCTGGCTGTCCACTCTGGACTTTTTCTTTCTTTTCCTTTCTTTTTTTTTTTTTTTTAGGTCAGGAGAATCAGTGTTTTTCATATTTTTCATTCACAAAGCAGCCATAACTCCAAATTCCAGACATGTCTGGAACACATGCTGCTAATAGGCTTTGCAAAAACTCTGCCTTTGGTGACACAGTGGATCCCACAGATATCCAAATACAGCAATGTTTTGTAACTGGTGCTTGTCTTGTTGAGACAAAGTTGGGAAGTTAAAATTCCTTCTCTTAAAATAACCTCAAAAGGGATTCATACCTTTTCACTACAACGTTAACACTTAAAACATTAAAACTTACGATATGTTCTATAATCATACAACACTACCTGTTGTCAGAACATCGTGACTGTGAATAAAAACAAGCCAACAATGACATAATACATGACATTTAAGTTCACCAAAATAGCATGAATGGAATAGAAAGTCATAAAAATAGCAATGAACAGCCTATAGCCTTGTTTAAAATCAAATTCAAGCCATATTTATATAATTACAATTGCTCTGAAAGAAATATTCACTGCAGCTTGGATGCATCATGTAACCAAAACTTACAAGTTTGCCCTGAGTTACTAAGGAAGGCTTATTATAAGTTATAATGAGGCTAACAGCTTAACATTTGACAGCACGAGTACACAAGTGTTATGAGTGTTCTAAATGACTAACGGAACTGAATGCAGAGTTTATGCTAAAAGTGTGTACTAGTCGGATCCATCAAGATTCACCACAACATATTGGTCAGTCCTATTTCAGTATCTTCCCACGTTCACTTACGGAAACTTCAATTTGTATTTGGCATCCACAAATTGTTTTCTGATAACCATTAAAGGCTATTACTGATTGTGACTTAATGCAGCTCTGTTAGCTTGCATGCTGTACATACATTATTTATTATGTAACACAGTTTTGGGAAAAGTCAAAAACTAGGGGCCTTGAGTATTTTATAGAAACAAAATATCAGTCACTGGTCGGTTTTACACTGCGGGGGTTGTCGTGTTAATCACTTTATATTTGGGACGGTTTAATGGTAGGTGGAGGCAAGACAGCTGGGATGACTTGTAGCCCTTCCCACACAATTTCCTGTCAATCTGTCCCATGTGACAATGCCATTGCATCCAAATCAGAGGGAGTGAGCGTCATGTCAAATGAGAATGATGAGCAGGAATTTTAGGGTGACTGACACAATTCAGTAGAAATTAATATGCGCTGACAACACATAGAAACAGACAGATTCACACAAATGAAGTAACTTTTATAATTTATAGAAACCTCTCCACATGTTTGGATAAATGAAAGCACAGATGAGTGGCTCTTTTAGCTGAACACAAACATAACACAAACCATAAGGCATTTCCTCTGTTGAGTACTTTTGACTTTTTTCCAAGAGTCTTCCTGGGAGGCGTAGCAAGCTCCGGAAATTGGATCATCATAGCAATGGATTGGCTTAAACAAAATTAAAACAGGTCCGAACAAAGCCTTGCTGTAATTAACCGTGATTGTTCATGCTATTTGATTAAGATTATCGGTCCCCGGAAATGACCTAATGGCTGTTACACATGAAGTTACACGAGTGTCGCAGAGATTTCAACCACCGATAAATGTCAAAGCAGTGTATATTAGTATAGAAATACAACCTGGGGTTTTATCAGCTGTAGCTCGCACTCTATTGCTTGAGATGTTTGGAAATGACATACTTACAGTTTGCAGGGAGACACTTGCTATCGAAGAACATACCCAGACGAGTTCCACAAAGCTCAGAATTGCTTCCAGTCTGTTGAACATTATGTGTTTACATTCAGAAATACATTTGAACGGGTTTGCTGAACTGTCTGTACAAACAAATCCAGTCTGAACTCATGAGTGTTGATGCTGTAAAGACAGACTGTATATACTATATGTCAGTACTGAATAAATGTTGTGTTAACCTGTCAAGATGCACAGGGATGGAATATGATTGTAAAACATCTCAAGTAACATCTCAACAATATAGCAGGCTTAAGAAGCAGATGTAAATGCATGTTCAGAGTCATTATCCACAATGCAAGACATAAGGGTCATTAGGGAGACTGTAAACATACAATTTGATTCCATTTCTCCCACAAATGACATCCATTATCTATATTTGTGTCTATTATTTCTTCCAATCACATGATTACATAGCCTCCGATAATGCCTTGTAAGTACATAACAGCATTATGATTTTGTTAAATTTTATGGAATGGCAGTTTTTGAGGGTCATATTCCTATGTGTTGTATCACTTTATAGATAATCTGCAAAGGAAGTGGATGTCATTAGTAAGAGTCACATTTGCTCCTTCGCCTTAAAAAATGACCACAGGCTTAATTTGTTCTGTTCTGTTGATATAAGTGGACACAAAAGAACGCTGATAAGTGGTCATGTCTGATCCTCTGCGTTGATATCTGGTCCTTCTGTAGATGGCGCTAACTTTCTTCCTAAAGTACTGTCCAGAGAAGACGTACAGCAAAGGGTTGAGGGTGCTGTTGAGAAAGGCCAGATACACTGAGACCTGTCCTCCTATGTCCAGAGTGTGAGACCACTCCGTCTCATCCAGCACTTTAACATCACAGAGTATATCCAGGAGGGTAAATACTTGGAAGGGACTCCAACAAAATAAAAATAGTAGTGTGACAGCATACACCAGAACAGTGGCCTTTGTGTCATTCGTGTCATGAAAACCTAAGCTCTCAGTTCTCTGAGCTAAAGCTTTGATTATATTCCCACTGCTGAAAACAATGACCAGAACAGGGAACACAAAGCCCGCCAAGTTCATCAGAATCTGATGGGCCAGCTTCCAAGAACTGTCATTAGTGTAATCCAGTATACAGGCCGTTACACCGTGCTCCTCAATGAACATGACCTTTCTGTGAACCATGGTTGGCATGCTCAGCAACAACCCCAATATCCACAGCATGATGCACATCACCTTGGCGTAACGTGTCCGTCTCAGCCACCTGGCCTTCATGGTCTTTACAAGCGCTAAGTAACGGTCGATGCTAATCATCACCAGGGTGTAGATGCTGGTGTAGAAATTGATGATGATGATGGAGTTGACAATTTTGCACAAGGCGTCTCCATAAGGCCAGTTAAACTCATTGAGGATGTTCATTGCCCAGAAAGGGAGGCCACACAAAAGAATGAAGTCAGCGAGTGCCAGGTTGCTCAGGTAGATCTCTGCTATGGTCAGTCGATCCTTGTGGGCTACAAACACACCCAGAACAAAGCTGTTGAAGAGAAGGCCCAGCAGAGATAAAGTGAAGACGTATGGGGGAATGATGGTCTGGATCATAGTCCATTCAGTGGAGTCTGGAGATTCTGATGGATTGAACGGCTGGGATGTGCTGCTGTTTTCAGACCACAACGTTGCCAGAGTTACGAGCTGCATTGGCTCCATCAGCTGGGAAAAAAAAAAGAAATTATACTCAACTTATCAGTAATGCTATTATTGGATGTAAAATGCATGGTGCTATATTATCGTGACTCTTACTGTTGTCTTTGTGGTCCGAACAAAGTGCGTAAAATTCAGACTGAGCCGCCGTTGCTCTGACATCACATTAACAAGTTAAACAACCTTCCTGACTGACTAATCTGAGTTTTCGTAACAGCTGTGAACCTCGTGTTAGTTTTTCATACTCTTATTTAGCCTCAAAACTAAAAAAAAAATAAGATTGAACAGAAGTTCTTACCGTATGGTTCTTAAAAAAGTTCTTCCTTTGGTCAAAATGTTAATGGTAGAAGGCAGGTCTGTAACACGGCTCAGCTGTGGACACCCAACTCCTGGTGAAAGTACACATTGAGGCAGAGGGGAGATCTTCTGACGACGTTTTTGTATACAGAGTTACATTCTTCCACACCCTTTGCCAAGGACTTCAATTTATCATTTTGTTTATAAAAAAGTCAGACTTTGGTCCATGCACATACATGAGGTAAGCTGAGACTGCAGCGCACTTAATATGTTGGAGAGAATCCCAAACTGGAGATAGCAAGTGTTGCAGAAGACTTTCACAAAACTATTAAGAAAGAGAAAAGACAGCTTTATTATCATTATTATTATTATTATTTTACTGAAGATGTATTTGTTCCATTTGAATTGAAACTTAACATTTCGCTCACTTATGTCACACTGATACGCAATGTTTTCATGTAACCACAACAACATTCCTCAGGGTTAACAGGAAAGAGTCACTCACATGCTTACGTGTATTTCCAGTAAATGTAATAATCACTGGAAAGATAAAACCAATTAACAGTATTGTTTTTACTTTTTACACAGTCTATGATACCTCTTTGTATGCGCTGAGATTGTGAATTAAGTCTGTGTTTTTCAGTTGATCAACATTATTCCAAAATGTTTAACTGATTCAATGTATGTGTAAGTGTAATCTAAATGTCATCTTAACCAAAGATAATGAAATGATACTGTATTGTAAGTCTAAGACCAAGTAACAATTAAATGGGAAATGACATATTTTCTTTTGTTAGTGTATCACTATTAAATGAAAAGCATTAATATCTAAAAATGAGTATAAGGGGAAATCGTGTCTCCCCTTTTATGGTCAATCTTGAATCAGTCTGAGGGGAGAAGCAGCTCATTGACATCCAGTGTATAAACAACCTTATCTTGTTAAAACAAAGACATTCCATTCCTCTAATAGTCACAGATGAGACTTTATTTAGGACATTAACACCCATACATTGTTGATTTACTTATTATTTTAAAGCATTAGGGGACACCTTTTTCATTTAGTGTTTAAGTATATTGAAAATACATAGATTAAAGCAATATGTTCACTCTGTATGCTCCAGTTCCCATAAAACAAACATGGATTCATTTTTGTATACATATTCTTACATCTGTTGGAGTACATTCAAAAGCCAGTTTCAACATGAGGCCATTCAAGAAACCTCACTGTCTTAGAAAAACAACATCCTTTCTTTGTCAACAGCAACAGAAGTGAGTGACTTTAAAAAGCAACCAGAGTTCACAATAAATTAAATTCAATATGGACTTAAGTTCAGGATTGCAGGTCAAGGGTAGCTTTGGAGGGGATTTATCCCAAACAAAACAGCAAAGTTGCAGAGTCTTCTATAAACTACAATCTTAGTTTAATGCTTTAATAAATATGGCAATGAGGTGTCTTGCCAAATATGTAGTCAGATTTGCACCATTCTCATGTTTCTACAGTAATTATGAAAGCAAAAGCATCCTGCCGTCAGCTCTGAGATCACCGCTTAACATGTTATATCTTGTTATGCTAAACTCAGAAAATGAAATTATGTTGTAAACGCAACATAATGCGGTAGGGAGTGTGTCTTTTTGTCTGGAGGAAATGAACGAGCTACAGCATGTTAATAATTAAGCTTCAGATGGAGCCAGGCTAGTCAGTTCCCCTCGTCTCCCGTCTTTTTGCCATGTTGAGCTGAACAGCTGCTAGAAAAAGCATCAGATTTACCATAAAGACAGGGAAATGGTTTTGGCTGTCTCCTCAAACTCTCAGCAAGAAGGCACATAATTGTATTTCCCAAAATGCTTTCTCAAATGGTAAAGGCTTATTAAATCACACCTCTGTCACTGCAGGTTTACTAAATGTATTTCTTTAACAACTCTTTTTCAGTCCATATGTTCTCTATGTGTGTAGAGAGAGCTAGATTTTAGTACTCTCTGTTTGCTTAGTTGAGTTAAGATTGGCATTGGAGTGACCAGACTTCTTCCGTTGCTCTTTCCTCCTGCACACCACAAGCTGAAACACTTCCTTTGCCCTCTGCTTGAAGTGCTTCCCCACAATCACATACAGGAAAGGATTTAGTGAGCTGTTGCTATAGCCAAGGTATGTAGCTAACTGGTTGCCAATGTCCAACACATGCGCCCATGTACATCCAGAGATGACTTCATAGTGATCCAAGGTGTCCAAGAACATCAGAATCTGGTAGGGCAGCCAGCAGAGAACAAACACGGCCAGAACAACAAGCACAAGGCACGCTGCCTTCCTCTCCACACTTCCTCTGCTGCCTTTTCTCATTTTTCGGCTGCTTCGAATGACTTTAATGATGTGGTAACTACAGAATGACACAATGGGGACAGGAATAAGAAAGCCGACTATGCTGACAGTTATGTTGTAGCGCAATCTCCACCCTTCGTGCGGGTACGCTAGGTAGCACGCATCGACCCCCAGATGAGGGAAGAACTGCACGGAGCGGAAGAGAACAGCAGGGAAACTGAGCAAAATCCCAGCGATCCAGATACCGAAGCAAATCCCACGTGCCCAGAAGGCCTGTCTCTGCCTTCCCTGGGACAGCGGTCTGGTAAGGGCCACATACCTGTCCACGCTCACAACTGTGAGGAACAGCATGCTACAGTAATAATTCATCCCAATGACAATGCTAATAAGCTGGCACATGAACTGTCCGAATCTCCAGTGGAACTTGTCGATAATGGTTGCGACCCAGAATGGCAGACAGGAAACCATGAGGAGATCTGCCGCTGCCAGATTGCTCAGGTAAATGTCGGCGACGGAGCTGCGCCTCTTCTGGAAACAGAACACACAAAGCACGAAGGAGTTGCCGATCACCCCCAGAAGGCATATGATGGACATGTAGGCAGGCTGCATGGTGTAAACCCAGTCCCATGCGTCTGTGTGGTTGCAGACGACCTCAGCACTTGTGGCAGTCTCCATAAGTAACTCACCTTCTGAATTTGGAGTCACAGTGAAAGCTGTTTTTCCATAACAGAAAAATGAGGGTGTGTTCAAAACTAATGCTCATTACAGGGAAACCTTTTAACTGTGTCAACACAGTGTCTAACTTCTGTGTTGCTTCCTTTGTGTCATGATTTGAGATCTATGTGTGCAGGAATAATTGACTTAATGGAGTGTGGATAGGGATGCCTTATCAGTCAGAGCAGAGAGCAAACGCATGCCGCCATTAAAGAGGAGAATCGTAGCAACAGATACAGTAAAGGACCAGATCTGTGGCTGAAAAGAGAAAAGACACACATGTATAGACGTACCAGAACAGACATGCAGAAAACGACAATTTACATATTAAAGTCAAACTGAAATGTGAAATTCTCTTCATATTTATGCAGGAAAGTATAAATCAAGGCTTTGCTGCCTAAGTGGGTGTTTTTAATTAGAATTGTTGGCAGACATTTGAATTGGTGTTGCTATGCTGTCAAATTTCACTGTGTGCTAATAACGGGACGACATCATCACCCTGTATCGCCATCAAGGTTTGACAAAAGATGTTTTTTGCACATTTTATATTTATTTATTTTTTATCGAACTAGAAGTGACTTTTTAGAATTTGCTATTTAAGCTGTTGCAGCATTCAACATTTCACCATTACTTTGAATTCCACCCAAGTTAAAGCCGTTTAGTTTGCAAATGTTAGAACTGAGGGGGGAAAATCCCAGTAGCAGCTCCTCTGTGCTGCATTTATAGAGCTTTTTATAAAGGAGGTGGTCATGTACTTTGTGTTGTGATTTGAATCAACACACAGAGTCAGTAATAAATACACAAAGTCTTATTATCGTCATTCGTCACGACTAATGTTGATCCTTTGTTTTTGTAAGTACAGTTTTGACCTGACAGATACACAACTCAGTAAAAATGTTGAGGATTGAGCCAAGTCTTTTTTTTAGATGCAAACTTGATTAACGTGACATTTCAGCAGGAATATGAGAAGAACCTATTTTTTTTAGATTTGAAACAACAAAGCAAAAACCAATGGTTGCATAATTCTGAAATGCCGACAAAAATACATGAAATGAGGTTGAACTGTTTATTTTTGGCAGACATTTTATCATTTGAGGTAACTTTGTCTGCCTGCATGTTTTTCTTCCACAACAATTTTCTTCCCTGGCACTTGTGGTAAAGTGTGATTTCCTGTTTGGCCTGGCATGTCTTCATTTTGAGGACACCGACGGGTGTACCCTCACCCACAGCCCACAATGAGTCAACACTGGGCCATTAAATGATGGTGTGGGGAGAAATCTACACTGCGACAACTGAGGTCTATAAAGCCAACAGAAGGGAGCATGTTTATGCATCAGCAGTGGAAACTCTTTGACAGAATCCCGTTTTAACTCAGCAGACAGTGAGTCACAAACACCAGAAAACACTTAGCAAGCAGTTGTTCCTGTTTTTGTGCTCAACTTAACATTTAAATGCATTATAAAGACTCAGAATGGTATAAAACCATAAGTATATTTTATTTGATGCTGATTTTCAGAGCAAACAACGGCACTGTTCACATCTTCATAGTTATCAGCAAAATAGGATATGAGTAGGAAAATATATACTTCCTTTTTTTTTTTTTTTACACTGCAACCAGGCAGATGTAGATCTGTACATTCAAAATATGAGCAAACTGTTGTGAAAATTATGAAAAACAAGTCTCTAGTTTTTCAAACTTGATACATATTTTCTGACACAGCTACATAAAATAATATTTGTTTGCGGTCTGTAACACGATAATTTCTTCAAGATGTAACATTTGAGCCTTGTGTATCCCCACACATATGATCATATTTCCTCACAACAATTAAAACAAGAGTTTCTTAAACTGTGTTTTGAGGAAGGATTATTTGGTCCCATTACTCCATACTTACATCCATCACAATTTTAAACATGAACTTATCATTTTAACATTGTTACATGACAGTTAACTGGAGTCTCTGTAAGGTCAACTGTTGTGGAGACAGTATTTCACAGAAGCGTTTTATAGCATAGTCTTGAGTGTAGAGGACAGGTTTGATCGTGTGGAGTCAGAGGTCACTCTTCTCGTAACGCTACACTGCTGGAAAACCTCCCAAACTTTTTTCCGGAAGTTCTTTCCTACAATAACGTACAGGATGGGGTTCAGAACGCTGTTGAATAAGGCTAAGTAGTTAAAGATCTGGTTGCAGATGTCTATGACAGCCGAGAGGTGACATCCTCCCAGGACGTCGGCCCGTAACAGCACATCCACTGCAGTGACCACGTGGAACGGCACCCAGCAGATGACGAAGGCCAGGAGGACCACCAGCACCAGAGTGGTGGCTTTCCGCTCTGTTTTCTCAGCATTTACCCTTCCTATTGTTTGGACCTTCAAAGCCAGAATAATCTTGAAAGTGCAGAACGAGATAATTGCAATGGGAATGATGAAGCTAAAAATGATCAACATCCCATCACAGAGCAGCTCTACACTGTGGCTTGGGTAGTGCAGAAAGCATGCATCAATGCCATACTCCGGGAAATGTCTCACTTCCCTGAAGATGAGCGTGGGGACACTGAGGAGAAAGCCAAAACCCCATGTCAGTAGGCAGCCCAGTTTGGCATACTTTGGCCTACGCATTCTTCCATGGGACATTGTATGCACCAGTGCCACATAGCGATCGATGCCGACCAGAACGAGGAAGTAGATGCTGCAGTGGACGTTCATCTTAATGCCCACATTGATGATTTTGCACATGAATTGACCAAAAGGCCAATGGAAATCATTGGCGATGTTGACAGCCCAGAAGGGCAAACAGGACACCAGGAGAAGGTCGGCAGCAGCCAGGTTGCTCAGGTAGATCTCAGCCACGGTGCAAGCCTTCTTGTGGAGGCAGAAAACCGTCAGGACGAACACGTTGAACACGATACCCAGCACACTGATAATCAAAATATACACTGGCTGGCTGGCGTTGAGCCACTCCCAGGCCTCCAGGTCTGGACAATGAGTGCCATTGGTGTTGTTCAGGTCTCCATTTGATAGTGTGGTGCTGAGAGTTGGGATGCTGCAAGGAGATCAGAAATATGAAGTTAAAAAAAAGGGGGGGGGGTTTAAAAATATGTTAATAGTAAATATTTTGTGAAATATTTAGATGATCACTACTTGTCTCATGTCTGTGGTAAACATGTGGCTGTAGCCAGCAGGCAGTTGGATGGCTGTTTCTACGTTTGCAGACTTTATGCTAAGTCAATCTGAGTTACATCTGCCTATTTACTGTACAGGCATGACAGTGATATCAGTCTCCTTGTCGTATTCAGCACAAAAAAAGCTCAAAACATACATATTTTACAAAATGTCAGCCTATTCTTTTAAATCAACAGCATTTGAACAAAATATTACAAATTGTATGTATTTAAAGTGTCATCCTTTGGCACAATGCATGTGCAGCTGACCGACATGCTCGGCCAGCTAAACACAAAATGTGTATTTTAATAGCCTAAAGAAACTGCTTGGAAAATGTATTTCTGACTTAAAACATATACTACAATTAAAGTCAACCAACTTTTGATGATTATTTGGTTTGTCAATTAATCATGTGTATAGTTCTCTCTGTGATTGTCAGGTTCAGCTGTATAATTTACTGTTGGGTTTGGTTATCCCCTGACATGGCCTTTAAGTTTCCACAGGAGCAGAGTTTAACATAAAACTCACTGGAACTGCAGCCTGTTGCTTTCAAACAGGGACCTTTGTAGTGAGATATAATGACACCAACTGCCATAAACAATTACTGTGGTAATTACACCTCTGCAAACAGCTCATCAGCAAACCAAAAATGGACATATCCATACTGTGCATGCACTTGTGATTAGAATCATTACTTGCACCATGCTTTACCCTCAGTGTCTGAGTCATGTGGAATATCATTGCAATATTCCGCTAATGAGAAACAGGTTCACTAGAATTCTCTTTGGAGTTTCTTGCGCAATATAACATTACATCTTAAACATGTGGGAATCTGTTATGAAGGATCATTAAATCAATGCCAACCGTATTGACAAATGATACTGAAAAACGATAGGAATGTGCTTTAATGTGTCAATAATGAAATAAGGTGCAATTTAAAAGCAGATTTCATCCAAAAAGTGTCACAAAAGAGTTTGTTTTTGCTGCACTGAGCAAAAGTTCACGACTGTGGCAGCAGGAAAATGGTATGCAGAAGCTCCTGGAGCAACATGTGCTTTAAAAACCACATGTTACCAGATGTTTGACATTCATCAGATTCATTAACTTTAGTTTTTTCAGAGGTCTCATTATGAGATGCTGCAAATTGCTGCCATTTTACTTTTTGTTCAATCTAAATTTATACACAAAAAATGTGAAGAAATACAAATAAAGAAGAAGAAAATGACAGTGTGCTCATGCTCACTGTCAAGTAACACCAAACTTTTTGATGCTAGAAGACGCTTTATTTAGATTCCCAGTGAAGACAGTTTTCGTCTCCTTGAGTTTGATTTTGCTGCATTTCTCGACATATTATTAAATTCAAAAGCTTCTTTCTTCACACATCTCAACACATTTTTACCAATACATTCTACACATGGGGAAAATGATTTAAAAGCACAACACCTTCATGTATTACAGATTACATGAAATATTTCTGCAATATTTAAAACATTTAAATGTTCATACATACCTTGTAGGTTGGGGAGTCATTTCTCCAGCACTGTGAAGTGTCCAGATACCCTACTACACAGTTACCAGTAAACGCTCTTACTCAACCCTGCCTGACTCTGACTGGCTCTCTTAAAGGAAACCATAATTAAAGTGATGTCAGCCAAAAAGGCAAGGCAAGCTTCTCTGCATGGCACAAAAAAATAAAAAAAATACTTCAATCACATGCATGCTCTCTGACTGTCTTTTCCTCCTCTGTCCTCCTTGTAGTAAGACCAGCACTTCTATGTGTTTGTAATGCGGGAATGTTTTCCAGCTAAATGCTTTATGCTGGATAAAGATGTCAGGGACAGTAAACACACTGAGGTACACATAATCAGTCCTGCATATGTGGAAGTGTTGAAGAATTTTCCTCCTGTATCATCACTGTTGAAGTGTGTTGGAATTCTTTTTTTTGATTTTCTTCTTATTATTATTTTTACACTTGTCTGCTTTCAGTAAGCAGCCATGCAGTTTATTTGTTGTCCTTGTGTAATGTATGTTTATGTGTCTACTGTGAGGACATTTTCAAAAATTTCAGACACTACTATGATGTTTTGGCAACATTCTTGTTTTTTCTTTTTCTTTTTTTTTTGTTTTCCCTGTAATATTTATAGCAATAATAGATGGTATAATAATACGATTTATAATAATAAATGTGACTTGTTGTGCATAGTCTAAACTTGTTCCCATTTGTACTGTATTGTTATGAAATTCTCTATAAGTTCTTTGACACAAACACTTGTTTTCTCATTAGTAAAGTAGTGCAATTAGGGGCTTGGATCATAAAAGCACCTCCACTTATTATCATGGTGAAGTGACCATGCATTGCATTTGGGACAAATTAATCCATTTACTGTAACACACCATGTTTCTTGTAAGATTGTTGCTACTACAAATAATGCTGCCTTTCTAATGGCTTCACCAGTGCATTATGGTTGGGATACATTTGCAGGAAAATGTTAGGTCATTTGTTGTTGTGCAAAAAAATGGCAATGTGCCACTATTGTGCATAACACTACGCATTTGTTGATCAAACATGTGCATAGACACATTCCTGGCTGATTGTTGTAGCGTCATTTGTGTTGCCTGTTTTCGCCATTTAACTTTAACACAATTTTGGCCAATGATAGAAGCAGTTTCTCATATGAACTGCACAGGTTACACATACGGCTTTCTGTTGTGAACACTGAAAACTGGTCAAACTTAACAAAAGAGGAAATATTGTAAATTGAAGGTTTGCATGTTGCAAAGTTGGTGTTTTGGTGTCTAATAAGCCTTCAATCTTAGTTACTCTAGTTACACTTGTGACTGAATCTGTTCCTGATCTATGCAATTTAATAGTTTTCCTAAAACTTTTGAGGAAAAGACAAACATTTATGCACATTAAAGTGTTCACATTGCCGGTCTTTTTATGTCCGCTTTGCGGCCAGTGCAGCCGTTTCTCTGAGGCAAAACATTAGGCTCTAAAACCTCTCTACATGTTATATGCTTTATGTTCTTGTCTGTCCTTTGAGACTGTGTTTGGTTTCCTGAGGTGTGACTCATACAAAACCGCTGCATTCAACTAAACATCTTCCTACGAGGCTGGTTGTGTTGATAGCCACTGTGGCTGGTCGGGTCTGCGCTTCGCTTCATGTGGTGCAAGGTGTTATTTTAAGATTAGAGAGGGTTGCATAGCCCAGAACAACAAATCACACTCATCATCCACTGTTGCTGCCAAGTTAATGATGCAAGATCCATTCCCTTCTTCCTCCACTCACCCTTCTCCTCCAAGCTAATCAGATACACATGATGGCGTGTCTGTTCGTATGTACGTATTATTGCATGTGTAACGAGAAGCACTGGCAGCTCCATCATCAACACTGACAGTCTAAGATGTTTTCTGAGAACTGGAATTTTCGCTTTGCACAGAGACATCACATGGATGCAAAACACAGCAGTATGAGAGCTGTGCAGCTAAACAGAAAGAAATCAAACGCCATTTTAAATTGAGCGCTGATTAGAATGGATAAAATGCTTCAAGCTGTCAATAATGTGCCAAAACCAATCTGGTGTGTCACAGTCTTATGATTATTGTGCAGCAGATGCATGACCATGAGGAAGTCAGTGAGCAGAAGGGCACACTATAATAAGATTGGGATCTTCCCTGAAATAATGTCGCAATAGTGCATTTCAGCGTCCTACACCCCGTCTCAGTCCGCTGTTTTATGTTTACTACCAGCATACAGTTGTCCCAAAATGTATTCATACCTTTCTTTTAAAGAAAAGGCAAAATTCACAAGAGTCAGTCAAATAACTAGAAACTGAAAAAAGCAATAATAGTAAACATTTTGCTAAATTATAATTTAATGAAATAAGACATTGCTTTTGAATTGTGGTTGAAAAGAATAATTTAAAAAAAGACTGTCCTGGACAAATGAGAGCACTTTGCTGATGAGCCGTGGGACAAAATCCAAACACCTGTCAACAGGTGTAGAAGTCTGACTGAGAGTTACAGAAAACACTTGATGGCAATGATTGGCTCAAAGGGTTGGATACAAGGATTCAAGGCTTTATTGGTCACAAACACAGTGATACATGGTATAACACGCAGTGAAATGCTTTGCATACGTGTTTCACACCGAGACAATATTAAGAGGATAAATAACAACAATGCTTGTTTACTTGTTTTTTTAAATATATTTCTGTTGAACCACGGTTCAAAAGCAACGTCATGATTTTTATTATATTTTTATTTATTATTACTTTTATCAATTTGTGTTTTTCCTTCTTTGATGGGAGAGTATGAATACATTTGAGGACGACTGTAACTGCTGATTGGTGAGCAGTGACCTCAGACTGACCTCCAGTCGGTGGGATACTGTTGTCAGGTTGATGTCGTTAGCGTTCAGTTGTAGATTTTCTTCTGGCGCCATTCTGCCCACCATCAGTTTTCTGGAACAGGCTGAAGTAGATTGTCTGTCAGACAATATAATCCCAGCAAAGTGATAAGACTTCCTGGTGCTGCAACACACGGATTGTTTCTTTCCTTTCACCATTTCCTCGTTTCTTTTAAATGTTTAGAATCATAACAAGATGTCTCATTTGATGCATGTTTTTATTCACTTGCACGATTGATTAATTTACAAAAGAGTGTATTGTATTAACGTTCCAAGATACTCCCGTGGAACCAAACTCATTGGGAAAGGGAAACACAATATCTAAACACCAGAACAAAAGTAGTTATGCAACATCTTTATTACAAACAATGGATGCCTTAATGACCTGGCCTTACACGTTGGAAAATTCCATCCATCCATCCATCCATCCATTTTCTATACACCGCTTAATCCTCACTAGGGTCGCGGGGGGGCTGGAGCCTATCCCAGCCGACTTAGGGCGAAGGCAGGGGACACCCTGGACAGGTCACCAGTCTATCACAGGGCCACGTTGGAAAATTAAAATTTTTAACTGACAAGACAAAGTTATTTAATCTCTTGATCAATATCGTTTTTCCAAAGACATTTGTTTTCATTGCACACACAAATTCAGTTTGTGTGAACATGTTCATTTCAGATTGCAGCACACTTGTCATCTCAGGTCTTGGACCAAATACTTGGTCTTCTGCCAACATTTCTCCAGACCGTTATGCCAACGGATCGTTCATATGATGCTTCTCTGTCTTGTGCTTGCGCTTGTTTAGTCTTAACCTGATGAAAATTGCGCAAAAGATTTAATCACAACAACTGTAATGATAAGTGGGGAGATAAAGACCCATTTCTCACTGCTTGTTGTTGTGGGAACGCGGTGAAGTTGTGAATCTGGTCGATCATTTCTTATCTGAAGCGTGATCGATTTATTCATTTTATAAACCCTAAAAAGACATCATACTTCAAATCCACAGAGCAAACATGGAAAACAGTCTTTATCATAGTTTACAGTATGTTGCTTTTCTTTTCTTTTCTCTTTTTTTCACTTCATGCCTCTAAAACGGGAACTGGCTTTTTTTAAAAATAAAATATCTGAAGTGATGCTGGTTTGGGTGAAAAAACAAATTCAACTTCTGTAAATTATTATTGTGGCAATCACACAAAGACCACACCGCTGATAATTGTTAGAGCCACAAAATTAATCAGAAACTGTCAAGTTTAAGATACATAATCTCGTTGCTTCAGAAATAACTCTAAGAAAAAACAGCTTTATTTATTGAGCTGTTTTTGCCCAGTGTTATGCGCTGTGGCTCCGTCAGGATTTCAACGGTTTGAAAAACAACACAGCAACAATAGTAAACCACTGCCAATGAAAACACTAATGTCAGGAGTTTTGCTGTTATCTGAAGTCGCGATGACTGTGTTTCCCGCTTCAGTATTCAGTTATGGGCTGGCAGAGAACTGAGCCTAAACAAAAATGGTTTAATGGCTTAGATTTGAAACAATTTTCTGCCAGTGGTAAAAACAGAAAGCAATGTGCAGCCACAACATGTTTTCTGGAACCTGCTGTGAGTTTTTTCAAACATAATTTTCCAGTGATACGAGGACCACAAACACATTTGTAATTACCTCCATTACTTTAATTTTTTAAACCCCAGCAAGTGAAAATCTAATTAGCTGCATGACTAGAAGGTGTAAGTGAACAGAAAAACTTTCTTTGTAATGTGACCTAGGCACCATTATATATACACGTGCCTATATGCCAATGTTAAAACACTACATTTATTAGTCTTGTCACCTTAGAAACACATTTACTTTAGCCTAATCCGTCACAGATGTACACTCCATGAATCTTTTACTTTGCAATGAAAGCAGACTACAGCTCTGCTGGCTGCTGTTAGTTATGTGTCAGTGGTGTGCAATGAGGGGTGTAACAAATGTCTGGACGAGGGGGCGCCTCTTCAAAAATATTCCGCTTATTTCCTGTCTCTCTCTGCCTGTTTTCCAGGTTATGAGCTCCGTCTCTCGGTGCTGATCCCGCCCCCGTTCCCCTCTTTCATAAGTCCTCAGTGATTCGAGACAACGGGGCGCAGCTCCTCCTGGGAAGCTCAGACAGCTGTTTTTGCAGCTTTCTTGTACAATCAGGGCCTGCCAAAGGAGAGTGAGGA